TCAGGGAACAGGTGTACACACGCACTCAGAGGCTCTGCTGGCTCAAATCCCAGCTCTGCCCGTGGCCGCGTGGCCTTCACTAAGTGACCGGGTGGCCAGGAGCTCCTTCGTCAGACCGGGGGGATCACCTTCCTCCAGGCCTCGTCTACAGAGCACCTGCCAGTGCACAGCCCCCATAGGACCTGCGACTGGACTTGCAGCCCGGGCCCCTCCCACGGTGGGCCTTGCGTCCCAGGTTTTCCCAGTTCAGGGGCATCCTTTAGAGCTCTGGGGGCAAAACCACCTCCAGGAACAGAGGAGGCCAGTTTTCGGTCTGAAGCAAGAACGTGCTGCAGTTCTGAGAACCGGCTCACAGTGGCACTTCCGCCCCAGGCACATGGGCCTCGGCAGGAATTGGTGAGACAAGTCTACGCCTGGGAACGGGACCTTTTCTTTCCTTTAACAGAAAAAAACCAGCCTCACACCTACAGATTTCAAATGAAAGCACGAGTCAAAATTTTAAAAGCCTACGATACCTAAAATGAAAGGATCATAGTGTAAGTAAACTCTACCTCGAGAAACCAGACTCGAAAAAAACTCTTTTAACTTTTAACTTGAACTACAAGCCACGGGGGATGGACAGCCGGACACACCAGGGCAGTAAGCTGCACACGTGCGCCCCCTAAAGGGTCACCTGGGGAAGTGGCGCCACACAGGGCCTGGCAGAGGAACTGGGACCAGAGAGGCTCAAGGAGCCCAGGGTCCCGCCCCACTCTTGCAAGACACACGCACACCGGCTCACTCCCAGTAAGAAAGCCCAAGGATTCCGAAGGAGCACACTGGGATTTAGAACACCCTCTGCTTCCTCGATGCCCCAGTGTAGGTGAGGGCGCTGTGCGCAGGAAGGACGCGTTCTGTGGCCAAAGGGTCCCCCAGAATTCCCTCTGTTCCCCACCAGGGGGAGGACAGAGGGGTGGAACCTCGGAAGCTTAATAGAGGAAGTCCCAATGCAAGGCTCAGGGGAGCATTACGAGACGCAGCCGACTCCACCGTGAAGCACGGTGGAGACCTTTTCCTGAGGCTCCTAGGGGGCTGGGCAAGTTGCACCCGCTCGATCCGGGTTTTGTAACACTTGGAACTTCCGCAACTTCAGCGGACAGAGAAACTGAGGCCCAGGGCAGGAAGGCGTCCACTCCCTTCCTATCTCAAAGATCAACTTACCCCAGCTACAGCTGCAGAGTAACCAAAGGCGACCCTGCCTTTGCCGGGGCGGAAAAGCCGCCAGCAGACCCACTCACAGCGGCCCTGCAGCCAACAGTACTCCAAGCCTGTAGGAGCCAGACTCGATGATGGGCCTCGATCTCCCCCACCACACAAGGCTGGGGGGCGGTGCTGAGCAAACAGCACCAACCATGCCCTGCCCAACATCCTCCAACACGGAGCTGGTCCCACAAAGCCACCTGCCAAGCAAGGGGACAGCAAAGGCCAGGTGCTTGACTCTCCCTCCAAGGGCTGCCCTCAGATACGTGGCCTGAGAGTCTGTAAACACAGGGTAACAACTCAGCCTGGAGGGATACTCCAGCGGGCAGTTCTTCCATGGACCAAAACATAAAAGGGGGGAGGAGCAGCTGGTCTCTGGGACAAATGTTCTTAATTACTGAAATGATTTGCCGCCGTTCGGAGGTGAACCTCGCCACTCGCAATCCCAAGCAACAGACGTGCCAGACGGGAGACAACACTGGGCCGCATCGGCTTGCTGCCAACCCGCCGTGCAAGCTGGAGGAGACTCCCTCTCCGGGCCTCAGAGTCCCCAGTGGTCTCGAGGGGCTTGGAGACATGGGGGCCTGGCACCAGCTTCAAAACCAGAAAAAAATGCCTCTGCAGTGAGCCCCCGAAGGGTCCGTTGATGGATGAGCGGATCAAGAAAATGTGGCCAGTGTGTGGACGTGTGTCTGCACACACAGTGGAATATTCTGTGGGCTTGGGAAATCCCAACGGATTGGGATTCCAAAGAAGAAAATCCTTCATAGATGAACCTAGAGAGATTACGCTACGTGAAATAAGCCAGACAGAGACAGACACACCACGTAGTATCACTTATGTGTGGAACCTAAAAAAATAAGAGAATCCTAGAAACAGAGAGTAGAGAGTAGTTATAGGGCTGGGAGGCGGGAGAAGTGGGGAGGGCTTGGTAAAAGGGTGCAAACATTCAGTCATAAGATGGAATAAGGCCTGAGGATCTGATGTGCAACACGGGACTACAGCTGATGACACGACCACTAACTGAAATCTGCTGAGAGAACTTAAATGTTCTCCAAAGGAAAAAAAAGGGGGGGGGATGTGTAAGGTGATGGATGTGTTAGTTAACTCGATGGGGAAAATCCTCTTACAAATGGGCACGTCGGCCAAACCATCACGTGGTGCATTTTGAATGTCCTATCATTTTGTCAGTTACACCTCAGTGAAGCTGAAAAAAGGAAGAAAGAAAAAAAATGCTTCTGCGTCGCGCTGTAATTGGCAACCCCGATCCAGCAGTCCTTACGGCGCCCATGGGCTCCTGCAGCTCCCAAGGGAAGACAGAGCGTGGCCCCTGAGCCGGGGTGGGGCTTCCAGCAGCGAGCTCCGGGGACCAGGAGGGGTGAGGCAGTGAGGGCCGGAGCCGCTGCTGCCTCTCTGCTCGACGCTGAGCACCACCCCTCCTCCAGAGGGGGAGCCCCCCAGAAGGCTCCATTTGGCTCACAGCCAAGAAGCTGGAACAGGGTCTGGACGGTCCCTGAGACCCCTCCCAGCGGCCAGAGCACCGTGCCTTCTCTGGGGTACATGATATGGAGCACCCCCTCCTGGTGAGAGAGGCCCGGGCAGAGAGAACCACAAGCAGAGGCTGCAGAAGCCGCCACAGGAACGGGGCCAGCTAAGGCACAAGCACCAAACACTCCCGCTTCTTGCCAGCGTTTCGAGAGAAAACCTGGAGAGCAGCAAAGGTCCTGGGGCAGGAGCAAGGACTCCAAGAGCCAGTGCCACCGACACAGCAAAGCGCAGCCTCTGTGCGGGACCTCCTCCCCAAGCAAAGCCCTAGCCTCCCGGCACGCCCTTGGGGGAACACCAGGAAGCCGGGCTGGCACCAGCACTGCCCAGGGGGTGGCTAACGCAGCTCCCACCAGTGTCAGGGGCCAGAGAGCAGACAGATCTCAGAAAACACAAAAGCCTTGCTGGCCTGGGGGACCCCAAACTGCTTCTGAACCTCAAAGGAATCAATCTAGTTAACCCAGAGACGAGCTCAGGTGACCAAAGGACTCCCACACCAGCCGCCCCTCAGAACACCAGTGCACATGAATACCAAAGGCTTTCTGCAAACAGACTCAGTCTCCGCAGCCGTCAGCAGGCTACTAGCACCCTCCCCCACCACAGGCTGCCCCCAGGGAACAGAAAGGCCAGGGACCCCCGCCCACAGACTCACCCAGCATCCGTCCCACCTCCACAGGCCCCGCCCCCTCTCCACGCTCCTGGACCCCGGGAGGGTCCAGGGAGACTGCCCTGCAGCCTGCTGCAGGCCCAGCCCCAGCAGGGCAGCCTCTCCCCTGCATCTCCCCCACTCAGCCCTTGCCGAAGAGACATGGAGCCCCTGCCCGCACACACACAGGCTGGCCTCTTCTCTCCAGAGCAGCTACTCCCAGGCCTCGCGGGTCTTGATCCCCGAAAGCCGTGGGATGACCCAGGCTTCTGTGACCTGGGCCCTCCTGGGGCCAAATCCCACCAAGTCCTACCCGCTAAAGTGGTACTCGGCTCCCAGTGGGTCGGCACAGCTGAGCACCAGTCCCCAAGGCCCTCGGTGCCCGGTGGCGTGCGGAAGAGAGGGCTAACCAAGGGACTCATAAGGCAAGCGGTGGCACCTGCCAGCCTCCCAGGGCGATCTCCTTCCTGAGAGAGCTGCCGGCTGCCAAGGTCAGCGCGGCTTGGGGGAAAGCACACCTCTGAGCCAAGAAAGCTCACCACGGCCTCATGGTGGCGCCTGTGAGAAGCAGAGGCAGGCTGCCGGAAGGCTTTTCTAATCTTAATCACTGGGCTTTAAAAAAAAAATGCTACGGTCCAAATGTGTCCCCTCCAAATTCCTCTGTGGAGTCCTAACCCCCGAGGGGATGGATGGAGGAGGTGGGATCTCAGAAGATGATTAAGTCCTGGGGCTGGAGCCCTCCCGAATGGGATGCATGTTCTTGTAAGAGACCCCACGCATGGCCGCCTCTCCCTCCATGTGAGGACACAGCAAGATGTCTGTGACCCGGGAGAGGGCCCTCCCTGCCCCAGTGGTCGCCCTGATCATGGACTCCCAGACAACACATCTCTCTTGTTCATAAGTCACCCAGTCTGTGGAACCTAGGTACAGCAGCCCGGACGCAACAGAACAATATACGCAAATATATACAGTCACGGTGTTTAAAAAACACACATGGAAGAAAATAAAACAAAAAACCCCTTATAACCCTACCCCCAGCTTACCCTTTTAACATGTCTGATGAACCTCTTTTTCTCTATGAATAATATACCTAAGCTTGCTTTTTTCAAACCAAAATTAACCCCCCCACCCCACTGGGTCATCGAAGATTCCGTACAGATGCACCGTAAACACATCCAACCGCTCGCCTACTGTTGGACGTTTACGTAACTTCCGCATTTGGCCGCACGACCGGTGACTAACCCCCTAAGACCACCCATGGAATCTGGCCCTGTCATGGCACGTCACTGCTGACGCAGGGCCCACACACACCTGCAGGGCAACCGAACAGGGATGTGGCCCGGCCGCTCCCTGAGAAGGCTGCGTCCACGTGCAACCCCACCCACCGTCCCATGGGCCGTTTCCCAGTCCCTACCTTCCACGTGAGACAGATGCCCCACTTTGTGCGCCGGCGCCCTAACTTGGATGTCTGCTCCGAGGGACCCCAACACTCCACCCCACGTGCAGCCCCCGGCTCCACCTCCTCCTCTGGGAACGGCGTGTCCTTCTCGCGGCTGCCCCAGGATCCTACCTTGTTTTTGAAGTACACCTCGATGGGCATGATGAACCCCGCGTAACCCGACTCCTCCACTTTGTAAGGGGGCTCCTTGCACACTAAAAAGAAAGGGAAAATGCGTCATCAGCTCGCCGCACACTCAAAGGCCCAGCCGCCAGCAACAGCAAGCTCGCAGCTGACCTGGTGGGACTGCAGCTTTTCTGGAGGCCAGCTCCCCCAGGAGTGTCGGATCCCACGGAATTCAAAGCATCACAAGGCATAGGAGTGAGCAGGAGAGAGGTGACCCCACCACGGAAGGAGGGCAGCAGAGGGATGCAGGAAGGTCGTGAGACGAGCTAGGTCAGAGCGGCCACTGCCAGCCACGTCCTGCACGAGCTCAACTGAATCGGGGCAGTGAGGTGAGGTGCCAGACCCCGCGGGGCCCCAGCGTCCCCGGCAAGGAGGGCCGTACCCACCGCCTCCTGCTGCTCACTCAAACACGCTAACGGGGAGGCCCAGCTGGGCGCCAGTGTCACAGAAGCAGGGAGAGACGGGAGATGGTGATGGCGGGTCCTCGCTGGGAGGACCCTGGGTTCCATTTTAGCACCTCACAAAGGCATTCCCAAGTGACCAAATAGAGACTCGTTAACCCCAGAGTTGGGGGGGGGGGGAAACAGTGAAACCAAAAAGAACAGCGAAGTACAAGTAAAATGACCTCCAGCAACCACAGTCTCCAGAATGAACCTCAATGTTTTGACATATATGCTGCCGTGAAAAGACCGTCTTCCCGCTTTTAAGAAAAATTAGAACAGTAAAGGTCGGCTCCCCTGGTCCCCCACCCTTTCCTCTCCAGAGGCAATCTCTAGTGGGAGACAGGAAAACACCCTGCCGATTGTGAAAAACCATTATGCACACGTCTGCACCAGTCAGGTGATTCTTAAGTGGGCCAGAAACTGCTGGAAAACAGTGTACGGAACATAATGGAATTTTTTAATTAAAATGGTGTAAGTTTTTTTCTTTTAAAAAAATCTTCAGCTCTCAAACATCTCATCCAATATCATTAGGTCAAATATGTCATGACTCTCATCCACCCCAGTAAAACTGGCCAACAGGGTAGGTCTGGAAGAACAAGGGACCCCCAGAGGCAGGGCTAGCCGAAAGGCCTTGCACGGGACCCCAGTTTGCAAACCCCAAGGGAGCAGGAGACGGGCTTGTGGCTCAGGCTTCAGGAGCTCATCGGGCCCCACAGACCAGAGTAGGTATGAGCCGCAGGGTTGGTGGCCTTGGCTCCAGGAGCCATGACCAAGACTCCCCCCTCCCCATTGCACCCTGCCCTGCCGGAGAGCCTGTTCCCTTCGAAGTCCACCTCCCCAGCAGTGTGCTCGCTGGGCACTCTAGGAGCCAGGCCCTGTGGCCGGCCACAGGGACACTTCTGGGGTGCAGGACCTTGCCCACTGCTGGAGAATGCAGCTTACTCAACTGGACTGATCTCCCCACCAGGTGTCAGGGAGGGGTCTCCCAAACAGCCCCACGACAGGCCACAGCACAGAGCACAGCCCCCTGGAGGCCAGCAGTGGCCCCAGCGGCCTCTGTTGAGCACCCCGAACACTGTCACCTGACAGCAGGCTCTCTCTGCATGACTATCACTGCCAAGTGCAACGGCGACTGCATCCATCCATTCTCTCTGCCACTGTCTACAGCTGGCAAAGTCAGGCGCTGGAGTGACGGTGGAGGCCGGGAGGGCGCCTCTGTCTGGCCTAGCTTACACAGGCTGTGTCCCACCCTCGGTCTGTCAGTCAGCCCACCTAGGAGTAAGGAGCAGCCCTGCCTCCAGGACAATAGGCTGGGCCACCAGGTAGTAAGCCCAGGTAGCCCGGGTGAGATAAGCAGCAAACCTCTCCGCCCGCCAGTCTCCTTCTGCTTCTCTGACACCTGCCCGAGGGGGCTGGGTGGGAAACACAGATGTTTCCTTATCCCCCTTTCCCAGCACCCCACAGCTCAGGACTCAGGCTGCCCACCACCCACCCAAGGACCCAAGGTCACCCCAATCCTCCGTCTCCCAAGCTCACCCATCACCAAGCACTATCACAGCTGCCTCCAAAACACTCTGGAATGCACCACTGCCCCGGCACCCTGCCGCTCTGCTCCAGCCCAGGCACCCTGCCACTCGCATGGGGTGCCACCCAGCATGTCACTAGCCCTTCTGTCTCGGGCTCACTCCTGGGAATCTTCCGCACGGGCAGTTATAATGACCATTCTGAACTGTGAACCAGACAGTGTCCCTGATGGCTCCCGCCTGCCCTCAGGACCAACTTCAAGCCCCTCGAGGGTGTTGTAAGGTGCTTTGTCATGACTGGCCTCACCCCTGGCCAGCCTGGCCTCAGTTCCTAGATCCAGCCTCAATGACCCCCATCCATCACAGATCACTTCCTTCTGATGACTTCATCTTGCAGTTGGGGGCTCCACTCCCCAATCAGAAGCCTGCAGGTCAACAAAGCCTACCCTGCCTTACAGAGCATTCTCAGTGAGAATTTCCGCCTAGAGGAAAGAACCCAGAGAAACTGGAATAATTCAGGGGCGCCTGGGGGGCTCCGTGGGTTAAGCATCTACCTTTGGCTCAGGTCATGACGCTAGAGTCCTGGGATCGAGCCCCACGTGGGGCTCCCTGCCCAGTGACGAGCCTGTTTCTCCCTCTTTCCCTCCCCCGGCTTGTGTTCTCTCTTGCTATCTCTCTCAACTAAATAAGCTCTTAAAAAAAAAAAAAAAAGAAAGAAAGAAAGAAAGTAAGAAACAGGAATAATATGGAGACCACATGAGAACTTGGGGAGAACAACAAACTAGAGCCCATGTCCTCAGATCCAAGATCTGCCCAACAAACAGAAACAAAATACTTTAGAAAGGCCCACTGGGGAGCAGGAAAGGGCTTTCAGATGGTGCAAATGGAGTACTCAAATTTTATATCTCAATGGGAAGTGGAGGAAACGTCCCAAGATGCAGGGCAAAAAGACACATTTTTAAAGGGTGAGATATAAAGAAACACTTCAAACAGTAACAGCACCTCACATTTATACGGAACCTACTGTGTGCCAGGCACTGTTCGTAACACTTTATACATATTAACGCGCTTAAACCTCAGGACAACCTTGTGAGACAGATACAATTGTTTCTGTTCTACATATGAAAAGACGCACAGGAGTAAAGCAGCATCCCCCCCGGAAAAAAAAGAGAGAGAGAGAGAGAGAAAATAGAAACTGTCAAAGAAGTAGAAGAAAACTTTCTAGAGTTAAAAATGAAAGACACCAGGGGCGCCTGGGTGGTTCAGTGGGCTGGGGCCTCTGCCTTCGGCTCGGGTCATGGTCTGGGGTCCTGGGATCGAGCCCCGCATTGGAGCTCTTTGCCCAGCAGGGAGCCTGCTTCCTCCTCTCTCCCTGCCTGCCTCTCTGCCTACTTGTGATCTCTGTAAAATAAATTAAAAAAAAAAATCTTAAAAAACAAAACAAAACACCAAATACCCCACATTAACAACAAAAAGAACAACAGAAAGACCCCAGAAACACTATAGAAGGTACCTAAGTGCTCCTAGAGGAAAGCAGACAAACGTGCAAGGCAGCCCCCCAGCAGCATCAGAACGGGCACCGGAGCCCCTGGAAGACGATGAAGCAGTATTAAAGGGGCTCCAAGACTGCGGTCTTCCACGGAAGTATTATACCCAACCAGACTATCAGTCAAGTGTGACCCAGGGTGAGTGGCGCTTTCCAGTGCACAGGAGTCAGAGCTTAGGTCCCACGTGCCTCTCTTCAGAAACTGCTTCAGTAATTAGTCTCTTGGGACATTACTTTGGAAATGACTCCAGTAAGACAACAAGCCAAAACACAGGGTAATAAATAGATCCTCCCCAGGAGAGCAATAAAGGCCCAGGGTAACGGCTAGGAGGTGGCCTTGACAGCTGCCAGTCCTAATAAGAGAAGGAAGATACGGAGAACCAGAATGAAATATCAGGGGGTGGGGTGGGGGGAGACTCCACCAAATAAAGGAAATGATCAAGAGGATGTGAAAAAAGGAAAGCGCTTTGGGTGTTGAAGAACAACACAAGGGGGAAAAGAGGGTAGAAGCAAATTATTCAGAGTTATGTCCAAACAGGAAGCAAAGTAAACAGGGTGAAATTTTAACCAAGAATGATAAAAAGGACCCATCTGACCTTGACACAACCTTGAGCGTTGTCCTCTGGGTGACTGGGAGCTCAGAGGATAAATGAAATCCTGCAATGATCAGCCCAACAAGATACAGAATCAACAGAACTGTTGGTGTCCAACTTCTAGAATTATCCCCTAATACGGGAGCAGAAGTGCAGCCTCCAAGAAGGTTCAAGGAAAGACAGGGGTGCTCAGGTCCTTCTCTTCCCAGGTGGAAAGTCAGAAAGCACAGACGAAAGTTGACAGGGCTGTCCCCATTCATTTACTCAATAAATATTTAGTAAGCCCCTAACTGTATCCTTTCAGTGTTAAGGTTACAGCAGCAAACTGCATATGGCAAGACATTAATCTCTCCCCCGGTGGGGGGAGGAAGGAAGGACAAGGTAAGTAACACGTATAATTTGTTAAAGGGGCCTACGGAGGGAAAGAAATGAAAACAAAAGCAAAAACACAGAAAAATCCTACGAAGCACGCAGCATGTGGGTGGCTGGGCATAGAAACCTTGAGTTAGACCCGGCAGCCAGAGGTCTGCCTCCAAGGATGCAGAGGACCCAGAAGGCCAGCAGGTCGGCCTCCTTGTTCAAAGTCACAAAGACAACCACTGAAAACGAATCACTTACTTACAAAACGTTAGAGGAGACGCTGGAGAAGGGCCGGAGTTTAGGATAGAGCTGGTAAGTTAAAAACATCGTTTTAATTTGGAAAATCGAGAGGTAGCAAGTTTGCTTCTACTACTTTAAGATGTTTGGGAAGGAGAAATCCACAAAGGGCTCGAGTGCCCTGGGGCAGCACGGCCAGTGTGAGACAGAAAGGGAGACTTCCTGCCCCGCAGCTTCTGTTGGGTCTGTTAGGAGTACGCATTTGATTGAAAAAACACTTTTTAAGTATACCATGTGTAATCTCAGAGCGCCCTGTGCGAAGTTCACGCTCTTTAACCTGATCCATGGCTCGCTGACAACCGGCACGATGAGTTTGGTCAACACCACCATGGTCACGATGGGCCACTTGCCAGGCAGTGGCTCCCCGGGCTTGGGCTTCCGTGCTCACAGACAGACCTCGCCACTGGCACACCGCAGCCACTGATCCCACCTCTGCCCCCGAGCTGATGCGTTCAGAGAACGCGCCCCACCCATCACCCCGTTTCCTAGGTACCTAGAACTTAGCAGGTGCCGCCTCCACGTGACCGCCGCGGGCTACAGGGCCTCTCTGAACCCCAGTGAGCACATCTGCCTGCAGGGATTCTGGGGGGACCCACGCAGCAAGGCTGCCACGAGCACAGCACAGAGCAAGTGCATGGGAACTGCAGACTGCCGTTCGTGTCACTTCGGGTGCCCAGGGCGGGGGGAGGGGGACACAAAGATGAAATGAACAGCTTAATGGTGGATGGAAACATCCCGCCGGGGCCACCCCAGACAGAAGGGGAGCAGACGGGGGAGGGTGACGGCAAAGAACTGGAGAGGAAACTGCCTAAGGATGCGCGGAGGGCCCAGCCCCAGAGGGCAGTGCGGACAGAGCAGGCCCGCCGGGGTGAAGGGGCGTGCGGGAGCCGGGAACAAGCAGAGGAGCTCCCCCAGCCCCAGGCCAGTGCGCAGACCCTGCTTTAAAGCACAGGCTGCGCCCGAGGCCCTCCAGAGCCCGTCTCGCATCGGTCAGGGCGCGGCGGGGAGACTGCACAGGGACCCCGAGCAGGGTAAGAGCTGAGCAGGGAGTTGCCGGTAAGCACCGCGGGCTCTAATTCCTGACGGTGCTAATGCCAGACACCTGCTGGCATAGTAAGCAGAGCTGCTCTCCTCCAGGACACTCAGGAAGGAAAGGAGGAAAAGGAGACGAGGTGAAGACCCAGGAAAGGAGAAACAAGGGAAAGGAATGGCGACACCGATGAAAGAATCCAGAAAAAAAAAAGAAATGGCTACCACGGTGCTAGGAGTCTCCAGTTGCCTTCCCTTGTGAACCAGAACTTTCTGCATGTGCAAGAGACGTCATTTCCCCGCTCGCTGGCACAGGCCCTGGCCCCCAGGGGATTCCGCGCCGTGCTCCTGCTCCTGCCTGAGGCCATCCACACTTGCTCCCGAGCAGCCCCCTGTCCCCAGCACTGGGAGCGGAGGGCTCAGCAGCGGCTCTCCCTGCCCTGAAGCCCTTCTCCAGCAAGAAAGTCCTTCTCTCCTTTATCAACACCCCCGTTCAAGAAGTTAATTACTGGACCTGTGACATGCTGCGCTTCACCCGGGGGACTCCATGGCGAGCAAAGCAGACGTGGCACCGGCCGCCACAGAGCTAAGGAGACGGTCACCAACTTCATCCCAAATTCCCCAGGGAGTGTTCTCTGACCCCCGGTAAGCTGGATGAGCTCCCACCTCTCCTCCCCGTCAGACCGCTGGGCCACAGGCCATCGGGACCTGCGCCGAGTATACGCATGAGGCCCCTCTCCTTCTGCCCAGCAGCAGTCTGAGGGGGGAGCAGAGAGGGAGGGCACACAGGACGGTGGGGAAATGAGAACCCTTTATGCTTTTTGCCCCAAATATCACGAATTCTTAAAATGGTATCTCTCATCCTCAAATGTAGGCCCAATAAGCAATTTCCTGATTACTCACCAGGTGGGAGTAAGTCAGCCTTCCCACCCACTGGCCATGGGCTACATGCTCTGGATGCTTCTCGGAGCCCAAGTCTAAACAATGACACAAGACACAGTCACCACCTCCTTTGGGTTTTCCCTACAGCGAACTCATCAGGTGAAGGAGAAGCGGAGAGGAGGGAGGAGAACCACTTTATCTGGAGGTCAGAGAAGGGCCGCATCCTGGCTGGGTACCTTCCCTCCGGCACGGACAGGGGTGCGAGTCAGCTGCTCCCAGGGAGAGGGAGGAGACAAGACTTTCAGGGAGGAAGACACACACAGTTGGAGGTTACGTCCCAACACTCGGTCCCCGCGGGGCTGCCCCGCTAAGGCCGGAGGCACTCACCGCGCTTGGGCTTGGGGAAGCTGTCGTGCAGCCGGAAGACCACTTTCTCCACGAAGTGCTGGATTTCACATTGCTCGGGGCCACGGACAAACACCATCCAATCGTGGGTGAACCCCTCCGTGGTGGGCTTCTTGCGCAGTTGGGCACGGTGTCCCAGCTCTAACTTGACCTGGACAGTGCACTGGAGGGAGAGAGAGGCCAGCACGGGTCAGTGAAAAGCCCAAAGCAGGGACCTGCCAGCCATCACACTCCGTCGCCCACAGAGCTCGGTCAGCGCGGGCCACAGGAAGAGACAAGACTCTCGAGCCACGGGAGTCTCAACCCGCAAGAGCGCAAAGGGCCTCCCTGTACTTACAGCGGACCGGACACCGTGTGAGCTGCTGGCCGGGCCCGCTCTCCCCAGCCTGCCCACTGGAGGCCCTCCGTTGCCTCCCGTCCTCGCCCCCATCCTCTGCCCAGCCGGACGACCTGCCCGCGTTCCTCCAGCAAGCCCTGCTCGCTCCTATCTCGGGACCTCGGCACCCGTGGTTCCCTCTGCCTCGGGGGCTCTTTCCCTAGTCTCTTCCACAGCTCGCTCATTCCTGTCTCTGAAGTCTCGGCTTGAGTGTCACCTCCTCTGGGAAGACCCCCCCACCCCCAGCCACCCAATCTGAAAGCACCTACCACCACCCCCATCACGCTGTGTCACATCCTACGTTCTCAGCATCTGTCACTGCTGGAGCTCATCGGCTCACAATCTGTTGGCTCTGCTCTGACGTCTGACTCTCGGGGGCGGCTCCCTGTCCAGAGCTGGACCCCTCACCACGAGCTCTCAGAATACATCTCCCAGTGTGACCCACAGCGCGGTTCCTTCATTCCACAGATGAGGAAACAGAGGCCCCGGGATTGGGCTGCTGAGCAGCCCACCGTCCTCGGCTAGGGAGCAGGGCCCGGATTCAAGCGCAGGTGTGTCCCCCAAGGGCCTGCTCCCTGAACCCCTCTGCCATCTGCCCTCGCTAGTCGGTCAGGTCACCCAAGCTCCTCTCTTCCGTCCCGTGGGGGGCCTCTGGGGAACAGAGACCCTTGGGGTCGCCTGAGTCCACACAGACGCACTTTCTGTTTTAAGGGCAGAATGGTGGTACACAGCAAGGAGGGCCCAGGAGGAAGCCAGCTGGGGGACGGGTCCCAGGCAGACCTGCAGACCCAGCAGCCAGGCTCCCTTCCTCACGCACGTGTGTGACACTGCACCCGAAGTGTGAGGTAGCTCATGCCGGTTCCACCCCACTGAACACAAAGCCACAAAGCGTTTACGCCTGGGCGGGCCAAAACCACCGACAGGGAGCCCACAGTAAACATCCACTCTGCTCGGAAGGTTCTCCCCGGGATCCTCATGGATACAGCCTGACACCTAGTATCAAATGCAAGAATGTTACAAAGAAAGCAGAGGCCAAGTGGACACGTGTTCCCAAGCGCTGAGACAGCCAAGAGCTCGGTGCTGGGTGGCGTGCAACTCACACTTCCTCAGCAAAGCCCCCTCCAGGAACCACCCTCCCCGCTGCCGCCCACCAACCACCAGAGACCTCCTGCTCTGTACTCCGGACCCCCTTTCTCCCCAGCTGACCTTATGCGATTCCCGCCCCCTTCCCCCCACCAGAGAGAAGATCCCCACAACGGTGTCCTCCCTCTGTCCCTGTGCTCTCGGTCACTGCCAGGAAAGCAGGACACACACAGCCCATCGCTCCGCCGGTTCAGCTTTCCATGGCTCCCCACTCCCTCGGAATAAAGTCCGAACGTCTCAGCACACCTCCCGTCTCCCGTCTGTGTGTCTCCTTAAGTCCAAGATGCTCATCATCTCTCACTTTTTAAGCTTTTTGAAGTCAGAGTGTGTCCTGCCATCCACATGTAGGTTTTCTGGGTTGAGCGGCACGCATGCACGCACACACACACAAGCACGTGAGCCGTCCCCAAGCCGGTGGCTTGCCTTGGAGGCTCTGCGGCAGTCTGGGTACAACCCCCTCCATGCCACGCACTTCATGCCCACCCCCCCGCCCCCCTGCTCCGTGGCCGCTCACTGCTGCCTCCTCAGGGACCTCATCTAGCTCGTCCTTTTACTTCCATCTTCGAACCACTATACATGAGGCATCAGTTAATACGAGAGATCATTTAAACTAGAGAGCCTTCCTATGACAGCAAATTCTAAGTGGTGCTTTCCAAGAGGGAAGGGCCAATAAGGACACTGATAAGGACAGGGTGGGTCCCAGTGCTGGGAAAGGCTAGTGGGAGGCTCCGCGCACTTAGCTAGCCAACTGTAAACCACAGAGTAGAAGGTCCCCCAGCCCGGGATCGGTCACTGTGGGGCTCCACAGGGGAGAAAGCAGGGGCTCTCTAGGTCCCGGGGCCACTGGAGGGACAGGTGGGGATCGGGATGGAGCATTCAGATTCCCCACAGCAGAAATGAAAGCCAACTGTAAGCAGATGATGGATGCAAGGAAACAGTATCTGAGTCAAAATTCCCCGGCAATTGTGTACAGTTTAGGCTGAAGGCAGAAAAGGACAGACAGACAAACAACAAGCCTGCTAGGAGGCAACCAGAGGGAGTGGCTAGAAAAGATTTAAACGAGTCTGAAATGGGAGAACTGGCAGGACTTAAGAGTGGACAGAAGGGTGCCTGAGTGGCTCAGACGGTAGAGCGTGAGGCTCTTGATGCAGGAGCTGTGAGTTCGAGTCCCCCACTGGGGGTACAGATGATATAAATAATAAATAAATACATAAACGTTAAAAAAAAAAAAAGAAGAAGAAGAGTGGATCAAGGAGAGACAAGGAAGTTCAGCCCCAAGACCCAGGGCAGTGGGATAATGCTGATGCCAAGAGGTGGCAGGGGTGCGGGGGAGGAGGACAGGCGACAGGGGACACTCCAGGGGGAAACACCACACCAAAAGCCAGAGACGAGGGAGCAAACGTCTGGATAAACAAGTCATGCTCAAATCCACCACAGGCATCCATCTACAGAGCACCACACACAGGCCACGTTCCACGGAAAGGAGCCAGAACTGTATTTACGTTACCCTGAGTGGGCGGCAACCCCCGACGCCCTCCCACACAGGACTGAAACTCTGCCTTTCTCGCCCTCCTGTCCTCCCCCCTGAGAAATCGGGAGACATTCCCTGCACTGCTGGGGGGCTACAGGTGGACTAAAAACGCAGGATCGTGACCATACGCCGGCAAAGGACTCTGACTTTCGGTTCTTCGGAGTGAAGCTCCTCTGGACGGAAAGGTCTCCCCAGAGTCTGCCCGGCTGCCTTCTCAGCAGCTCTGACCGGCTGGGGCTCCTACCCAGGGCACACCAGGGGCAGGGCAGTTATTGTGAAAGAATGGAAGACCGCAGTTCCAACAGAGACGGAGAATGAAGCGCCAAAACACCCGCTCCAGAGGCCAAAGTAAACAGGAAGGTTGAGAAGCGGCGCTGGGCGATCGCTGCGCTGGCACACCATGCCCAGCGCTCTGCCCGGGCAGCATCTATGCCCCCGGGGCTGGCGCCAACCCAGCCTGGACACCCCCCACCCTCCAAGGGCCAACGACAGCGGCCGCTGGCGCGCTAAGGAGGGGAAGGCTCCCCCCACCACCCCCGAATGCTGGACTCTTCCAAGAAATAAAGATGGTGGCGTCACTCAGGTTCTGAGCCGCTGTCTTAGAAAAGAAGTCGCCGACTGCGGAAGACATTCAAGCTCCCTGAACCGGAGAGAGGCGAGAAACAGCCCGCCCCAGTCATCCCGGCTTGTCAAGTCATGATATCTTCTTAGTGCAACTCAGCCAACTCCACCTTCAAGGGTTCTGCCCAGCCCCCCCCCCAACCTGGACTCCTTCCCCATGCAGCGGAACCAAAGAACTGAAGTGAATCAGTTAGCTCGTTCCCCAGGAAGGGCGCCGAGCTTCATAAAGAGGTCCCCTGCCAGTCAGGTTAAGCTCTCAGGCGTCTTGGAAGGAATGCCTCCCGCCTGTCCCGCCCGCTGCTCGCAGGCACCCCGTGCAACCTCCAAGTGGGCGGCTGGAAGGAGCCTGAGGGACCCGGCCTCGGTGCCTGCCATGTCCCAGAACCCTGGGAACCTCTTTGGCACCCACTCCCCGCTCCAAAAGCTGGGAACAAAGGGGGAACATTCCGGGCCTGCCCGGTAAGAGTTCACTATGCCACTTCTATGCCCTCAGATGGAGATGGAGCAACTGTGGGGCACTGAGGGCGATGGGGTGTGAGATTTGGGCTGAGGGCCTCGGCCAGGCACTGCTCTCTCCAGATCCACCAGAACCCAAGGGTGGTAATCCCACGGCCTGCATGCCAGGCAAACAGACCCTGGAGGGCACCTGCTCACTGGACAGTACAGATCCCCCCCCAAGTGTGGACTCACACGGCCAGAGCCCGGCAGAGTGGGCCAGCCTCCCTCCAACAGCTCCGCTGCCTCAAAGGTCTTTCCTCACTGGATTCTTCCTGCGTCCCATGGACCCTGCCCTCAGCCTGGGCCCCCAAAGGCGGGTCTTTAACAAGTTTATCTGTAAGAGTTCCCCTGATTTCCTTGTGGGAATTCTCTTCAACAGATGCCCTTTCCTCTGGGATTGCATACTTTACTGAGTGGTATAATTATGCCTGGAGTTTGGCGACCGTATCCAATTCCCTCAGATGCAACAATTCCCTCCCCTCCCAGGAGGAGAGAACACCGAAGAGCCTTCTCCCCTCATTGGCCTAGACTGACCGTGCCAAGTCCAACTGGGTCTGGCACGGCTGCTGGCACGGCTGCTGCAGGTCAACAGCTACGGAAGCGTGAGAAGGTGCTGGTCCCACAGTGTGCAACAGCAGCACCAGACCAGAGAAAACACTCTTTGCAGAAACTTCTCCCCCCCGACCTGGCTGGGGGGCTCTTAAGAGCAGCCACCGGATCAGAACACGAGGAAGATGGGAACATGATGGGGATCCCTCCGTGACAATCCTCTCAAGCCGAAGACTGCCTCCCAGAGGTGGGGACAGAGCCAAAGGAGCTCTCACAACCCCTGCACAAGGCGCTGGTCTTCTAACCAGTGACACACGACGGGGACTGGGAGGGGGGGAGGGTGGCTAGTACCTGCGCTCCTCGTCTGGCCTCATCCCTTCGGCCCAGGGCATAAGGTTAATGACAAAGGGACAAGAAGGGGCTTGGTGAATGTCTCCCTGGAAACTAAGGATAAGTGCGCAGACCATGGGGAGATGCAATGACACCCCCAGTCCTTAGTCTGCAGATTTCCAGGAAGACTGAGCGCTGCCAGCCAGCCAGGAAGGCTGGGACAGGGTTTATGCTACACACGTGTCCCAACTCTCACGCCCGCAGCCGCGGGGATGGTGCACCGGCTGGCCACGAAGTTCTCCAGAAAGCAGCCTGCTCCGAAGGAGTACAACACTGATCAAGGCTTCCGACCGCACGCCTGGTTACAAAGTGACTGATTCCTAGTCACTTTTATTCAACCAACAGTTGGCAAAGCGAAGTGCAAAACTCTGAGTTAGGAACTGTGACAGATACGGGGATGCGGGTTCCGCGTCCAGCTCTTGATCGCGGCTCAGCTCATGATCTCAGGGTTGTGGGATCAGCCCTGCATCAGGCTCCCTGCACAGTGGGGAGTCTGCTTGAGGTCATCTCTCCCTTTGCCCCTCCCCACCAGCTCACTCACTCTCATGCTCTCGCTCTCTAACAGAAATCAATCTTAGGTGCGGAAAAAGGGGAAAGAAAGGAATTATGATGGTTATAGAGGCGAAGAGGATTCTCGTTCCTACCTCAAAAACTATACGACGTACTAATTTTAGGACAAACCACTCAGCAGGTCAACTGCCCAGTGACAGTTTGAGAGCTGGGTCAGGGAGAATCCTGTCACCCTGAAGTCAGTGCTCTGTGCAAATCTGAGCGTTTCTCTCCAAGGTCTGGGAAAAGGACTCAGTCACCTAGGAATCCCACCTGGTCCTGACTCCTCGTGGGACCCTCCTGAGCCTCCATTTCCATCTCTATAAACTGGGCCATCATTGTCAGAAGCAAACATCCTCTTCTGGAACAACAGAGGATTGTCAACAGTAGTGTATCTCACATGTGAACTCGGGAGAATCAGCAAGCGTCATTTCAACTGTGTGATTCAATGGGTTGGCTGCCCACCTCAGGTGACAGGCTGAGTGTTTCTGTGAAGGGAGGGCTCCCTGGTCCTACAGAGAACAGGACCACTGAGGTGCTGACACCACCCCTAGCAGCCTAGGCCACCTCTGGGCCCAGAGACGCTGTCTCCAGCCTCCTTTCTCCATGTTCTCGCCATCTGCTCCGCCTTCACCCATGCCCACCCTTCCACACCCTCCATGTCTCCCAGACGTGACCCACCAAAACACAAACACCAGAGACAATGGACCTGCAAGTCTGGACTGAGGGTTGAGGAAATCAAATGCATGGGTTAAAGTCAGGGAAAAGGGAAACAGAAAAGACTTTTTCTGGCCATGGGGAAAGGATTTCAATGCTGAGAAGTTGGGAGTCCAGAGTAAAATGCAGAATCCCCCTTCTTAGCTGAGTCTGAAAGTTCTAGAGAATATGGCAGGGAAGTAAAGAGAATGAAACCCTCCCAAAGCAAGTGGGACAAGGGGCCCTTAGGGGAAAGTCCTGTTGTTTCCCATCAGGCTGAGGCATTTACAGGTCTGGGGCATCTTGAGGGAGAAAGAGAAAGCCAAGATTCTGGTGAATTCAAAGCATTTTCCATGCACTAAAGTCATTCTGGAACAGTCAGTGCCAACTTACCCATTTGGGTAAAGGACACCATTCCCTCCTGTCTTCCCAGGGAGTGCCACCTCTGTCAGGAAGGGACAGAGCTCCCAGGCCT